ATATCGCAGATTTATCACTGCGCATACGCATTTCCGAAACCTGATTTGAAACTCAATATAAACTTCGATGAAATAACATCGTTTAAAACTAACCAGCACTCGACACTTAAATATAATTACCTTATTCCTATTTTCAATTTCGGAGTAAAAAATATATACGTTAAGTAGGAATGGTTACGCTTGGTGTAAACTTCATTACTGAGAAAATGTTCATGTATTCCAACACATTTAAAAGCGCGCCAATTAAAGTTGTTTATTAAAAGCATAAAATGATAAAATATATCATCAGTAGAAAACGGAATGAAAATTAAATTTTTAATCACCTTGAGTGATATCTCAAGTTCTTCCTCCCGCATTCTGACCGTAACGTGTTTAGCATAATATCCAGCTGCAATATAACTCGATGTCTTCCGCCGATCTTTCGTGTGAAAATTTTTACCCTTAGCAATGATCACCTTTCACGATATTTCGAATTTATCACTTCACACCATGATCGTGACATTTTTAGAAATTTTAAATAGAAATTTCACGGTTTTCTTTTTATATACTTGTTCGACATCGGTTAAATGCTTTATCGTGTTGAGAGGACAACGTATATACCGAACACGCGAATACGCGCTACTAGCCGACTGAACACCTGTACAAGACACCTGCCGAGACGTACTGTTTAGTAATTTTCTCTAGTAACATTTCTATTTCGTATCAAGATCAATTGCCAACCATTGGGAAAAAAGTTAAAATTGAAAAAGTATGAAATTTAGAAGATAGAAACGCGTATTTGATAAATTTAATAATTTGCAATGTGTTGCAATAAAATTCAAATTTTAAAAATACATAAAACATAATACATGTAAAATACTACATTAGTATACCACATAGATTAGGTAATATGTAAATGATTTATTTCTTAAATTATTATACGACACATCTATTATTATACGACACAACTAATTTTTTTAATGCATAATGAAATAACTAGTAACACCAAAATATATTTAAGATAATTTAATTAGCAAAATATAATTAAAAAGTAATTTAATCTATAGAAAAAAAAACATATATTACAGATACTCGAGTCGTAAGGAAAGGTGATAAGGAACAAAATTAAAAAGTAATTTAAAATTGCTTTCGTAATATTTTTGAACATGCGATGTATGTACTATATGTATACATATATACACATACGTATTTATATATACATACATGTATGTACACACAAACACACGCGCACTCGTACAACATGAATATGTATGTACTATACGTAATTATATAACATTTATATATACTATATATGTTTATGCATACATACAAAATTATAAAGCTGTGTATAATATGTAATAATTGTGACGTAATACACTTACATGTGAACAATATTATTAACGGTAATACTATTTCGTTAACGATGTCATAGTTACTATGTTTACTTTTAAAAATTATATGCGTCATTGTATCTCACACAATTAATACTTATATACTACTGTATTCTTCACTTCTTTAATTAAAAAGATTATTGGTGAAAAAATGATCGAGCTTACTGTATAAAAATCATGTAAATTCATTTCACGTTTTAATGAAGTTTATATATATATATATATATAAAAAGCATTTCATTACATTCAAATAAAACTGTACAAAATATAAATATGTATACTTATATAAAAATTTACTTTTGTACAAAGTGCCTGATATCCTACATACATATTCATAAATGATTTTTAAAATTCTTAGTATCGTCAGTTTTAATACTATTTAATACCAGCAATGTAATTTCTTGAAATAATGGTATACAAAAATGCTATAAATTAATCATCAGATGACCACAGAAGCATAATTAAATTTTCTTTTACTTAATCTTAAGTAATGTTTTCTTTTTGTTTTAATTATTCGTAGAACGTCATTATACAATTTTATTTGTTTTTTCGTTTAACAACAATAATGGTAAATGTTTCTTTTTTTATATTTACTTGGCAGTATGTCTTATGTTCATAAAGATATGGTATATTCAACACCATAGTTGTTGACAATAGAATAGTGGTCTCTGACTAGACAAATTTTGTTTATTTCTGATTACTTTTTTGTATATTCATCCATATAAAAACCAAAATATATAAAACTTTATGTGTTTATTTTACACATATATCTTAATGTCTTTTTATAAATGAAATAAACATACAATTTTGAGAAGTATACATTATATGTAAATTTTTCAAAAAGAAAGTCAATAATAAATACGGTAATATATAAATAAAATGCAAGTAAGATAGGCTAAGATTTATATATGTTTGCTCTATTTATTCTAAAGACTCTCGTAAAAGCCAAAATGAAACTCTTGTAAAAGCCAAAATGAAACAATTATAGTGTTCCCACAAATTGTATCTCACTTACTTAATTGAGAAATTAAAATTTCTAAAAATATTAATAAAAGATAAAATTTTAGAACTTAATAGAATAAAATTTTAGACCTTAATAAATTAATAATAATATATCTGGTGTACAAATGTATAAAAATGAAAAATTTGAGTTTGAAAGTAAGAAATAGCAATAATAAACTGAATTAATATGAAGAAATGATCAATTGAGTAGTTATTAACGATGAATACTAATTTGGAATTCAAAGACTATAACTTATTTCATTAAATAAAAAAATTCAAATATAACAAGTTCACGTGCTCTTATAACAATATTAATACCCTTGTATACTTTCTTATGTTATCTTACATTTTATGTTATCTTATTTCTTATAAACAGTTAGGAATAATTTTTAGATTAGATATATTGCTTTTAATTAATATGTGCTTTTTTCAAGAATAATTGAGAGTTAACATATTAAAAAAATAATGAACAATGATAATAAATATTGACAAAATTTATCTTACATTTATATTAGCTTAATAAGTCATTTGTAAGTTTTCACACATTATGTCGTCTTATGAATTTTTAACACAAAATATGTTATACTTGCACGTTCTTAATTAACAAATAAATTAACAATTGTAAAAATAATTATGAAAAGATATGAGTACGTATAGAAATAAATAAGAATGATAAATCCAGACAGATAATAATCCTTATTACTATATAATAAGTATTTAAACCATAAAGGATAAACCATTTTTGAAAAAAAGTTTAATTAAATTGGCTGTGTTTGAAAAATTTTCACTTAATTCGTAATACTTCTGATAATTGCATTTAATCTTTTCAAGATTAGTAAACAATGAATTTTTAGCTTAAAAATGTTAACTCCCATGGATATTGTCCAAAAAATACTATTAATAGCGACATTTACATGTCCAGAATATAATTTTTTAAAATAAAATCCAAACTACATCATTGCTTTTAAAACTCGTTAATTAACATTTCAATGTTCGTTTATGTGTAATCATTCATGAATTGACAAAATTGTTCTACAATTTTATGGCAGCCAGAATATATAACAAAAGCGATTGGCATAATCATATTGCTAAAAAAATAAACCGTATTTATATTTTATAGAAAGAAAACTATATATCTTTCAGTATAAAGTATACTCTCTCAAATATCACAAACATCCGTATTCTGAATATAATTGTTAATTATAATAATTTGTATTTACCTCGTTGCACATTCATACAGAATATCTATTATATTTTGTTGATAGATATTATAACCAAATATGTTATATAAACTATAAATTGTTTCCGTACATTAATATGCAGAGGCTTCCTTATATTCAGAACCTTCCATAGTGAAGAAATCTTCCAGTTTCCATTGTAATGTTTCGAAAGTTGGCCTCTTCATTGGATCTTTGTTCCAACATTCTAACATAATATCATATAATGCAGTTGGACAACCAGGTGGACACGGCATTCTATATCCATGTTCTACTTGATGAAGGACTTCAGCATTTGTCATTCCTTTAAAACGAAAATAATTAAATATCCTTGTTTAAATTTTTATTATCAAAATATACTACAGAATTTAAATCTTAAAATTTATTTACCTGGATATGGTATTCGACCATAAGTAACCAACTCAGTCAAAAGAATACCAAATGACCACACGTCCGATTTAATACTGAATTTGCTATAATTTGCAGCTTCAGGTGCAGTCCATTTAATTGGAAAACGTGCACCTATTCGAGCTTCATACTCATCTTCTTTAATAAGTCTAGCTAAACCAAAATCTGCAATCTTCACAACATTTAATTCTGCTACTAACACATTACGAGCAGCTAAATCTCGATGGATATAATTTTGTGACTCGAGGTACGCCATACCTGCTGCAATTTGTGCAGCCATATCGATTAATCGTTGTAAATTTAATGTTTTTCCTTTCCCTATCAAAGAAGATATAATACATGTAAAAATGAACAGATAGAAAAATAAATATATATAAATTGAAATAATTAAAAAATGTAATTCTATTACCTTGCAGATATTCCAATAAGCTACCATTCCTCATCAATTCTGTGATAATGTAAATAGGTTCTTCCAAGGTACAAACAGCATATAATTGAATTAATTTTGCATGACGAAGTTTTTTCATAATTTGTGCTTCTGCTAAGAAATCTTTAGGATCCATAGTTCCTGGTTTGAGTGTCTTTATTGCTACTGCAGTTGTATTATTCCAGGATCCTTCCCATACTTCTCCAAATTGACCTTGGCCTAATTTTCTCACAAATTTGAGAGATGAACGATCAATCTCCCATTGATCTCGTGTGCGATGACTAAGACCCTCAGTTACAGGTTTCTCAACCTATCAACAAAATTAAGAAGTATGTGCCAGTCAATGACAATGACTATTTACTTGTCATAAATGAACATATTTCTATGGCATTAATAGCAAATACTCCCTTTGCAAGTTGTACATTAATAAATAAGATAGAGAAACTTAAATCATATATTAATTGCAATTCTAAAATTTTTTGAAAAAACTTTGAGCAGTGATCTTACTTTTTATTAATACAAACCTAATTAGAAGCCCTTTAAGGATGTTGCTTAGGATGCATAACTGCTCATTAAGTTCTCAATGATTTTATTATAAAACAACAAACAACAAGTGTTAAATTAAAATGTCTAATCTAATAATAATATCATAAAAAATAAAAGAAATAGTGGCTGTTATGCAAGATGCAAGTGATGAAAAGCAAACTTTAAATTATTTAATTACATGCCTTTTGACATTCAAGTGATTTTATAATGAAAACTATTTTATATTTGAATAAACATAGTAACTAAGGTATATGAAATACAATTTAAATGCACCATGAAGTAAATGAATCTTTATTATAGATAAATTTGTATATAATAATGTTTCTCAAAAGTCATTAATATTTATTTTTATAAATAAGAATATTAATTCATACATATATATATATAATTTCAGGAACTTAGTAATTGAACACTTATGCACGGTCCAAGACAAATATATATACTAATAATTTATTCATTGTAGAATATGTACATTATTAACAAGAATGTAGCACCATATTTGAACTGTTTTAACATAAAATGCCCTCAATGCCTTAAAGTTGAGTTAAAAAAAGTATAAAAAAATATGGAAGATAATTTCAATCACTAAAAGCATTAAATCATATAATTTAATAAGACAAAAATGTCTTATGAAATTTTCTTGTTTTATCTCTATTAAAAATTGTTCAGAAAATATATAAGGTTTATTAGGTAAGAAGAAAATTTGTTTTAAAATTCTTTATTGTGAATATAAACACAAGAAAGAATTCTAAAACTAAAATTTTAGAAACTGATCTATAAATTTAAATTTCACATACAGGATATCTCAAATATCAGTAAAAAATATATCACTTATTTTTCTCATTTAATATGTTATTTATATAATATTATTTAATGTAATATAGCATAATATAATACAATACAATAACAGTCTTTCTTCATTTGTATAATCAGTACAAAATGATATGGATAATTTGGTAAGTTAAGAATTTATTGAGATACCCTATATATGAGATAGATTTAAGCACACAAATATTGATAATAGAATATGATTTGTTGCAGATTTTATAAAAAAGTTTGTGTTGAATATTGTCATAATTAACAATACATGAAAATAACATATACAGACACATAGATACAAAATTATCTTGTATTTTAAATGTGTGCTTTCAATCCTATTTTTTCTAAGAAAGAGTATGTATTTAACAATGTTATGTCAGATTATAAAAAGAAGTGAATTTTCTAAATGAAGAATGATCTAATGTCTTTGAAACATGATTCCATATAAGACAGGCTTGTGCTGTATGTACAGGCCAAAGATATAATGGAAAGCATTTATGTAACAAAGAAAATTAACGTGTTATGTCATATTGGGACATTCAATTTACCAATAAAATCCAGCGGGAGGTAAGGTAAGCAATAACAGAGAAACAAACATAGTCTATTCAGAGATCAAACTTTGCAAGATTATTTATGAAACTAAAAGCTGTTTTCAAACCTTAATTGTTTAAAAAATAAATAGCAGGAATATATTATATGCATATATATGTATACATATATATGATTTTTCATTTAAAGTGACAATAAGTCTTCTCCTTAAAGATTAAAAGTTTAAAAGAATATAATTTTTACATATACTTATAAATACAAAAATTTCTTATTACACCTTGATTAGCATTCAAATTAGTGCTTTTTCTATTAATATATTTAAACAAATTGCCTAACAGTGTCATGAACAAGAAATATAAAATAATATTTTAGTAAAGAACATATAAAACTTCATCTTATATCTTGAACTGTGATTATATTGTTCAATATATGATTTCAAATATTTTTCCAATAACATTTCTTAAAGAATATACATATAATTATTGAATACATCATTTTATAGAGCAAAGTCTAATTGGAGTTTAGACAGTGCTATTAATATGTAGTAAAAATAATATGTAAATGTAATTTAAATATTTGTACCATCCATTTTATTTATTTTCTGTACAAAATTAATTACTTTATAGATTTGTGTACAATAAAAGTCAAAAATCATGCATTTGTGTTTTTACTTTTTGTCTCATATTATGGATTATACCAAGGGATTTCTTCAAAATTAATAAATATCAGGATAGAAATTGTGAAATGAATTTTTATTAATTGAAAAAATTCCTTGATAAATATTTAAAATGAATAATGAACAATACATTTTGGCGATGTATCATTAAAAATCAATGTTATACATGCAGCAAGCTGTCTAAACTCCATTTATATGACATAGGATTGCAAGAAATATAGATTTAATCAAAAATTTTGTCTTACCTGTACACAGGGTTTGCAGAGATTTACACATAGTCCATCAGCATCTTTACTATAATGTTCAACAAGATCCTGAAGGTTCCTGAATGTAGTTCTCCTAGCAATGAAGAAACCACCTTCATCCAGTTGCCTAATGCGATAATGTTTAACTGTATCACCATCGCGTACTATAAAAAGTTTTTTATTATTTTACCATAAAAAAATGATTTATATAATTTAAAAATATAAATGTAATATATTAAAAATATAATATAAATTTATTATAAGCATATGCTTCGCTATAGAGATTGAATTTTTGATGTATTCATATATATACCTATACCTAACGTACCTGAAAGAGAATAATCATTATGTCGACTTTCAGAATCTCTAATTAAAAATGCACCATGGTCATTTTCAGGAAGCAATAATTTCTTCTCTGCTTCAATTCGTTTAATTTTTCTGAAGTACCATCTATAAAAAGCAATAGTAATTAAAATAAAATTAATTCTTTAATATTTGATTAGTTAATAGTAAAATAATAAAAAATTGTTTACTGTATGTTTTTGTTACATACAAGAAGGAAAAAAAAAGAAGAACTGCTTATTTAAACTAAATGATAGTCAGAACTTTCCATCCATATTAATAAAACCTAAGAGTCAATACATATACTGTTAGTGAAAGCAAGGTTGCATTGACTATTAGTACAAAGAAAAATTTATTGAGAACATAATAAAGGAAAGTAAACATATTAAAATTTTTTGCATTTTTTCAATTATAATTATGTCTGTAATTTATTCTACATATCTCTTATATATAATAACTTCAACTCTTCTTTTAATGAATACATAACTGTAAAATTTTATGTGAGTTGCATATTAAATGTAATTATTTTACTCCTATATAATTATTCATCGTCTATATCTATAATTGTAATCTAAATTTATTGCAATAAAATTATAAACTTTTCACGATTATTATGAATTTTTTATAATTATTATTATGAATTATTATTATTCAAAACAAATTTTCTTACTATATATATATTTTTTTTTTTATATTTACTTGTATTAAACAAAAAATATTTGTAAAAAAATTAATGTAAACATTGATAAAAATATGACTTACGGTTCTGCTTCTATAGACTTTAACTTTGCAACATAATTGCTGGGAATATATCCTTCTTGTCGGGTTCTTTTACTTCTAGCTAACCACCAGTCTCCTTGAGTGTCATTTAAGATTTCTAAGTGTTCACCTTTTCTAAAGCTTAAATCTTCATCAGTACGTGCATCATAATCATAAAGTGCAACAAAAATTTTTGCAGTTGGCACATCTGCGTCTGGAATTTGTGGCATAGGCCTTATAGGATCTGGAGGTGGTGTTGGCACTGGACTAGCTGGAGATGCAACTGCTTCTATATTAGGATTGCCTATTCTATCAGGCTTCTCTTTTTCTGTATCTGTTGGACTGCTGAAACAATTACCCATTTTTTGTATGTAATATCAAACTTGTCCACTATACAAATCCACTGTCACTGAGTCATGAAATATGACAATTCTTTTTGCAAATGTTCCTCCAATGTTCTTATGTTTGATCCTTTTTCATGGATATTGAACTATGATGATGTGAATATGAAATTTTCATAATACACATTTCGTGAATGTGTAAAATAAGCACTAAAATACACTTTGGTTTTTAAAATGTTTGGATACAGATCACTAAGAATATGGGTTCTTAAAATTTGATATAATTTGTAAAATCGGCAACTTTTTTCTCGAAGCTTCTCTTCTTCTTCTCAAGAAATTTGTATTTCTTTCGTCGATATCTAATGTAATAAAAATTGAACACTTGTAATTAATCAAAGGTTTTACTAAAAAATACAAATAATAAATACAAATATTTATTCGGGTAATCACTTATAACGATGACACTTCATCGCGTCACTGTACAACCGTAACACAAAACAGAGATATGCTCTATTAGTATACGCATTTTCGTCGAGTTCGCGCTGATCCAAGCTTGACGTCATAATATGGCACATTTGTAATTTAGGTTAGGATGTAAATCATCAATTTTATTATTAGTATTTATTGTTATTCAATGCCATTTCTAACAAATTAATATTCTCATTTTATTAATGCCAATAATACGTTTCCGTTCATTATCAAAATCATTTTGTTGAAACAAATCATCTCTTAAATATAAAAATAAGAGTAAAAGCAACGGGTTATTAAAAAATAAATCTAAATCACGCTACAAATTTTTCGATTTTATATTAGAATTTATCACATAAAAAGTAACAAGCAAATTAAGAAAGTTGGGCCAAGATAACATAAAATATATTAATAAGAATATTTCATTGCGCTTATATCAGTTTTACTCTTTATTTATATTAATATATGAGAACACTTTGTTCTTTTAAATAATGTAAAAATTAAAATATTTTTAAAGAATTTGATATGTGTAAAATTAAAAAAAAAAAATGATTTATGAATATAAAAACTAACAGATGAAATCTAATTTTCGATTGAAACTGGTATTCCTAATGCTGTTTTCTTGCAACGACTAATAGTCAGTGACACTATTTAAAAAATATATATTATATAAAATTTTTTCGAAAAATTATAACAAAAATCAAGAAAGAAAATATTTTTATGCGAATAGCAGAGCCCGCTCGATTTGAACTTGTTCCATCAGTTCATTACAATATCTAGCAACAATATGAATTCTCTTACACTCGAAGAAGATCATTCTTTCCCTATCGTTGATTTTTCAGCATTGGCATTGCATAGTTGCAAGAATTTTCAACAGCACAGTAATAATCAACGGTTAAAAGAAATGTGAACATAATGGAAAGTAACGTCGCCATTGCATTAAATCAGATCCGTCAAAATCTTAATTTTCACATGTGCGATACTGAGAACTGCGGAGAATAAAACACACGTCGAATTTATTGTCAAAAAATATAACTACAAAATGAACGTATTCCGTATTATATTTCGAGACACGTCTAAGATTATTTATTTCAGAAACAAACGCGACAAACGAACAAACTTTTCATGACAAACCGACGGAGAGGTGAAAACACCCATGGTGAAGGTAGCCAGTATCCAGCGAAGTATAGTTTTCGGATAAGTTCGGCTATAAACCCGAACTTAACCGAACCTTACCATCCCTCAATCAAAGATGCAAGCGTTGGATTGTATATACATAACATATACATATATATAT